AATCTGGTCCAAGCTGCATAACCAGTGACAGCGAAATTAATGTTCCACAATTATGATGTTTTTAGATAAACTTGGCGGATCAATATTGACGAAATTCGAGCTAATTAATAATGAGACAAAATTATATTATGGGTATAAGAGGTTTTCTTTCAATTGGCTGATTTCATACATGAAGGACAGACAACTTAAAGTGCACCTTGGAAGTACAGCATCCTGTCGAGAAGGATGTCCCTCAGGGATCTGTATTGGGACCACTGCTGTTCAACCTACATGAAAGTGGTTTGCCTGGTCATATCTTTTAGGGGCATGTAACTGTGTTTGCAGATGGCACCACAATTACTATATCGTGAAAAAATGTGAATCACGTTCATACCAAAATTCATCGTACAGGTATATTGGATACATTTTCTTCCTGATGTCAAAGAAATCGTCCAATCATAAATCCAAGTCCAATCCATCGCATACCTAATATAAAACTGGATACATATCACCTTACTTTATCTGAATCTTGTAAATTGTGTAACTGCATACTTGCACATGAGTACGTAAGGATCCAATAAATAATTATTCATTCATTGATATGTCTCGTTACATTTTTATTGGTCTTTATTGTTCTGTATTACATTTGTTACTACATATACAAATTTGTATCGAATGGATTTCAACAAAGAATAAAGTATTATTTCTTACATGATTCTTACACTCTCTGTCCCACGTTACTACAGCACATTTTGTCATCTATTTGTGTGTGTTCTGTTGTGATATTTTTTTACTATAGGAAATAGTGAGTCCAGGAATGTTTCATTGTACACCTTCAAAATGTATTTTATGCAAACAACTCGGAAGGATTAGCTTGTACTAAACAGTGCACGGTACTGTGCAGGAATTACTATTTCCTTCGTCTTACTTTTTGCCTTACAAATTTTGTACACCATTTTTTTCTTTTCCTACCCTATCCATAGTACCATCGCCTCTCCTCTATTCCTGATCTCAGGATGCATCAGACGCGGCCGCGCAACAAAGCGCCAGTCATGCAAGGACGCTTACGGAGACCGGCACGGCAGCTGGTGAAGCCAGAGAGCAGACGCAGGGAGCCGTGACGAAAACGTCTCTCTATTGTAAGCTTTAAAGGCAAATGTAGGAGGAACTCTATGACCTGTGAAACATTTCTAATGCGTGCGTATAATTACCGGGGTTATAAGTATATTAATATACTAAAATCTAAAAGTTGCAATATACCTTCTCCCACTCACTGAAAACCTCCATCACTCAATTTTTTTAAATGATCAGAAGGCTTTGATATGTCAAAAAACTATGTTTGAGTCATATTTTTTTTATTTTCACCGCCGACACTAGATCGATTCTGAAAAACTTCAAGAATATTTTGTAATTTGTATAGTAGCGGCCTTGTTTATATATTTCATCCAAATCCGAGCAATACTTTTGCAGTTATAGACAGGGCAATGATTTGCGGACAGACAGACCGACAGATAGACCGATGGAAATAAGTGATGTCATGTCATGTAACGTACAAAAAACCTCATTTTCGAAATTTTTGGCGATTACAATATTTTCTCGCCTGCAGACCTGGGAAGTAAAAGGCTGCGTTGTGTCGGTAAAAAGTAGCTCAGACATATTATGTGGTTTTACTTAGCGGCTAGACTAACATCTCGGATTATCCATCCTGTCTTTTTCAGATATTATCAAATGAACCAGAACTACACGGATTTGGAAGAAAAAATATTAGTAGTAATTTTTCCAAGAATAATGTAGAAATAATCCCTATCACAACCCTACTCAATATCTGTAGCACTTAAAAATCAGTCCTTAATCCGAGAGGGCCGACGCTTGCGTGCGTCCCTTCACGGAGAGTGAAAGAAAGAAAGAGATTTGCTATTCAGATGGAAATTTTCCGTACCAGCAATCATAAAGTATTACCAAAGAGTCGCAAAAATAAATCCCTTTTCAAAATTCAATTAAAGTTAGGCCATTCCGACGAACAGCGGAACTCTTTTATGCTCCTCTCGAAGGAAATGACGTCGCCGTCTGTCCTCTTCTTCTTTCGCCTCTTTTATTGAGGCATTCCGCTAAACAAGAAGCGAGTTTTTTCATCTGACGACTAATGCAGAGCTGTATTCAGGTCTAAGTACTAACTCAGAACCAGATATTGATAGATTATAGTTATTATTTATTGGTACTAAGTACACACATGGTATGCACACGTCAGAAAAGAAGAGAATGATTAAAAATCGTTAAAAGTACAAGTGCAAGTATATAAACAAAAAAAGTATGATGAAAAACACTTGACAGATAACAAATAACAATGCAACACGCAAACACAGAAAAATAAAAACAAAAATGTAGTATGAGCATAGTAGTCTCAGGCTCGCAGCGGGCTGGAGTGCGTTTTCTGAGATACGTCACACATCTCTGATGCCAAACAATAGCTTTGCTCAAGCGGCATTTGAGGTGAACCAAGTCTCCACACCTTAAATATTACCATGTTATTACGTTATTTGCTTACTACCATGTAATGGGTGGTAATTTTTGTACCAGGTACGTCATATTACCTGTTGCTAAAAGCCCTAATTTGAGTTGTTACAATGGAAATGTACATTTAGTTGACACATACATTGCGTGCAATTTTTGTAGTAGTGTACAACCTACCGTTTATTATTGCAGAGCGTTAGCAGTATGTTGTTGCAACTAGCTTTGAACATCTACGATATGATATGCATTCTAAATATTTACTTCGACGAGGACGGAACATAATTACATGATCAAACGAACTTACCTCTAAGTGATGTTCGATCTTAATTATGTGAAGTCCTCGTCGAAGTGAATAGCTCCCTTGCTCCCTATGTATCACCCAATTGTTGCAACAACTTGGCTTTGAAGTAAATGAAGGTTTATAGGCGGCAGATGGGTGAAAGGGAAGGGGCGCGGTGCCGCTTTCCTTCTCTGCGTGCGCGCTTTGAAATCGTGGCGGTTGGGTACTATCACGGGGGTACTACGACATGTATTCAAAATATTTACTTCGACGAGGACTTTACATAATTAAGGTCGAACATTACTTACAGGTAAGTTCGTTTGATCATGTAATTAATAAGTGCATATGTCATCTTACTGTAGAGATATGATTATAATAATAATAATAATAATAATAATAATAATAACCGTCTTTATTATTGACATAAGACATTGACAAAATGGTAAGTGAATATAAGTACATCCAGTGTCAATAAAATGCGAAGTTCAGTTTGATTAGTACACAGTACCAACAACCTGCTCTTCCACTTAGCCCAGTATCCTCTACGACATATGACATCCGATAAACCGATAATACATACATGTCACTATAAAAGAGGGACATACCTACACGCTAACAAAAAAAAAACAATCATTCATTCATTCATGCGGTGCTACTGTTTTTTCAGCAGTTCCTTTTTAATCATGGCTTTGAAGTTATCTATTCTAGAAAATTTTAGTTCCTTCCGGACTGAGTTGTAGACTTTATATACATATTTGGTATGTGAAGCTCCGTTTGAAGATTGACGTTCTAAACTTGGGTGGCGAAATAAGACCCTTACTTCTTACGTTAATGTTATGAACGTCAGTCCGGCAGGTTATTTTTTGATAAAGATATTGTGGTGTTCTGACTAAAATTAATTTATGATAAAAAACAGCAGAGTGGAGGAGCCTACGATTTTCCATATTTAACCAACCTGCATCTTTCAATTTGTAAGATATTCTATGTCTCCTCTGTATACCAAATGCAAGGCGCAAGCATGAGTTTTGAACCAGTTGAACTTTACGTCGATACAGGTTAGTTAAGTGTGGGCCGTAAAGCACATCAGCGTAGTTGAATAAAGATAATACTAAAGTATCACATAGCATGATCTTAAGTTTTAACGAGAGAAATTTCCGGCTACCGTAAATAAATTTCAACGACAAATATGCTCTCTGCATAATTTTGTTGATGTGATACTCAAATCGAAGATTACTATCAATCACAACACCTAAATTTTTTACATTGTCCATTATTTTGAGAGTTACACCATTTATCTCAATTTTAATAAGATTCTCTATAACATTTTTATTTTGTCTAGGTCCAAAAATAATTACGTGAGACTTTGATGGATTTATTAAAAGACAGTGGCGTGTGGCACATTCTACAAAGGAGTTTAGCTCATTATTAATGATCAACGAGAAACGATCCATCAATTGTGGGGGGAAGCTGCAATAGATTTGGGTGTCATCAGCGTAAAAATGCACATTACATAGACTAAGGCAGTGCATGAAATTAGATGTATAAATTAGAAATAGGAGTGGTCCAAGTATGGACCCTTGGGGTACGCCGGATTTCAAATTTAAAGATAAAGACTGAACTCCATTTAAAACAACTGTTTGTTTCCGCTTAGTGAAGTAGCACTGAAATAAATCTATAGCGTTTTGAGAAAGACCAATATGATGTAAAATAGCAAGCATTAATTGATGGTTTAAAGTATCAAACGCTCTGCTGAAATCCAGCAGAACAAGAACAGTACACTCGCCACGATCTGTAGCTCTAATTATGTCGTCTGTTACATGAAGTAAAGACGCCGTACAGCTATGATTTTTCCTAAATCCAGACTGTACAATTGGCAGTAATGAAAATTGTGACAAATGATAAAAAAGTTGCTCCTCCATTGCACGCTCAAGTAATTTAGAGAAAAATGGTAAAACACTAATCCCTTTGAGATCTTTAAGATCTGAAGGATTAGGTTTTTTTGGCAGAACACAGACATTAGCTTGCTTCCACAGATCAGGGAACTGATTATGCGTAAAACAAAAATTAATTATATGAGTTAAATAAGGAATAATATGAGGGCAACATAGTTTAATAAAATTTAAATTAAAACCATCGCAACCACGAGCATTAGTTTTAATACGGCAAATTGCTTCATAGGGGGCAGGCATCAGCGGTGGCCGCAGTAGTAGACTCTTCGGTCTCCTGATCAGTCGCCGTGCGCTGTGCGGGTTCGAGTCCCGTCCCAGGAGAAATTTTTCTCTTGGCTATGGATGTTGTGATTGTCCGTAGGTGGTAGATGGTCTCTGACTGTCGAACGCGGAGGTACCACCCGGCGGTTCTCGTAGGCGGAGCCAGAATGTGTGCATGTTGCATGCACACGTGTTCCCTCGCCAGAGTCCGTGTGGCGTCCCCCCTTTCCCATGTATCCCCCATAGCCCCACGGTACCCAATGGGTGCTTTGGCCTTAGGCCTTCGTGGTAGTTGGAATATAAAAAAAAAAAAGAATAAACAAATAAATCATTAACTTCTTTGAATTCAAAATTTGAAGAATTCCTCCTAGTATTTCTGTAGAAATTTATTAAGTTAGGAAAAGGCTGTATATTAGGTATACTGTTAACAAAAAAATTATTAAGTTCATTGACATCATTAAAGGAATTTGGAATGGTGTTATCCTTTTGAGAGACTATTCCATTGTTCCTTAACCTTTTCCACATTTCTGTTGAACTGCAACTTTCTAATATGTATGTATAATAAGATTTTTTTTCTCTGATGATAGCAGCATTAACTAAATTACGCAAGTCCTGATAATATCGCAAATGAGCATTCAGTCCTGTTCTTCTAAATCTAAGCAGCGCCCTGTCCCTGAGATTCTGCATTCGCTTCACCACATCTGTAAGCCATGGGGCTCTAGGTTTAGTAACTCTCATTGATACCAAAGGAAAATGCCTATCAAAAAGGTTTGTAAGCAGCTTTGTAAGAAACGCAACTTTAGAGTCGGCGCTATCTTGGTCAAATAGCATGAAAAACGGGGTTGCAAATAGATCCCTGCAAAAACTGTCTTCATTAAAGTTTTTATATGAGCGAATAGTAATGATTTTAGGTTTATTTCTTACTTCACTAACATTTACCTTACCAAAAATTATAAAATGATCCGACATACCACCACTATCCATGACACCTGTATCAAATACAACCTCATTGCCAGAAATGATAAGATCCAATAAACTTGCACATGCACCAGAGATTCTAGTTGGACAGTCTATCATTTGCTTAATCGAGAAAGAGTCTAGAACAGAATAAAATCTTACCACATGTGCTTGATCGACGTTTATCAGGTTAATATTAAAATCTCCAGTGCATATGACTTCATCAACTGTTGGATAAATCGTACTCAAAACACATTCAAATTCATCTAGAAAACTATTAACATACATATATACATACATATATTATAGTTCCACGGTTGCCTGTTTGTAGTCATAGATATCTATAGTCCCGAACATCAATATACTTCAGATCCATAAAATCTCGATCATAGATCTGAAGATCCATAGTTTCACAGATTCAAGGATGGATAGTCCTAGAGATCCTTATGTTATTGACATCCCCAGACACGTGTAGATTGGAACACTCATGCTTTGAGAGATCCAGAAGTCTATCGATCTAAGGATTTAGGGTGATGGGTAGTCTTCACACCACAGGATTTTATATTTCAATTCAGAGATCCATATTCTTTCTCTGGCCACAAGATATCTGTCGTAATTGACGGGTTTTACTCTTCATCCCACACCGTCAACGCAGGTGTCCCCCAGGGATCGGTCTTAGCTCAGACACTGTCCCTTTACATATCAACCACCTCGTTTCCTGCACGATCAACCCAATCCACAGCTTCGCTGATGACAGCACTCTACATTGAGAAATTCATAGTGACAAGCCGATCTCAGCCGCTGAGATGGAAAAAAGAAGGCTAGCGACGACTTCCTCTCTGAAGAGATACCTGTAGGTTATAAGTTCTTGTACAGTTTAATGCTTCCAAAACATAGTACTGTACGTTGACGAACAAAAAGTGTCCGTCCCTTTCGATGGATGGCCGAGTTCTGCCAAAGAGCCGTTCATTTCGGCTGGTCGGAGTCCAGATCACCAAGGACTTGTTCAGGCACGAACACATCTTGTCAATAGCTGGGAAAGATCTAGGCTATTTGTTTAGGCCTAAATACTTTTCTCCGCATGACCTTTTCACTCTATACAAGGCCCAGATAAGGTCTAGCCTCGAGTATTGCTCACATATTGCATTTAAGCTTCTGCCTGCGCGGCTGCTTCGGTATAAAAAAGGTCCATAGACCGAATGTCCACGGATCCTTGACATCTGCCTCCAACATCTGTAGAACAGGAGATCTATATAAATTACCACACAGAACTGAAATACGTGGTATTTATGATTGCCCATCTTTCACAGCAGTGTCAACCCACAATTTTTTACTAGAAAGACGCGTCCGTCCGACCAAAAGACAGCTAACCTTGGACAGCTGTTTCGTGCTTCTTTACTACACATCAGCATGGACTAGGCTTGGTCTCTCGTCTCTCGAAAGAATCATGTTCGATTTATTTAATGGCAAGTAGACCACGTCTACTATACAGCCAGAGTCGTCAGCCATCTAGCGGTCACATAGTGACTGGGCTATTAAACGTGAACTCAAACCTTTAGAATTAAAACAAATATCAGCTATGCGCTCTTGCAGTGGTCGATGCTGGTGATAGATGGCGCTTTGCGCTGCTTTACTTCGATAGACCGTACCTGGATAGAGAATAATTGCGATGTTTCGTTCATCGCACAGAGACGACAAAGCAGGCCTAGACCATGCTCACGAGTATTCAAGAAGCCCGAAACAGCTGTCCATGGTTGGCTGTCTTTTGATGGGTCGGAAGAAAGAGTTATCTTCAATTTATATTTGTTGATGTATAAATAAATACAGAGCCTCACACACTCTTACAACTAGATCAAATCCATATGTTTAGAGATTAAAAAATTCACTTATTTAGAGGGTTTATGAATCAATATTAATAGACACAGATAAACACAAACCTGAATATCCATAGAGAACACTCAATCGTAAGTTAAGGGATCCATTTGTTCAATGATCCCGAAATGCATGAACCCTTACTTCCATGCTTTAATGACCCAAAGATTATTCAACTAGATGTCCATAGACCCGGAAATCCACATATAAGCAAATCCAAACTCAGATATTTACAGACCATTTACAGTCCTGTGGGTATAAGGTTTCTTAGGTTTAGAAATACATAAGACTATAGAACCTGGGTCACGTAAATCCATAAAAATATGGAATCGTAGATCATATATCCATAGAACAAGAATCCACATAGCACTAGAGGTCCACGGCCCAGAATTTATACGTGGGGTTAATCGTGATGTAGATGTTATAAGATCAAAAACATTTGTATTCACGTTAATTTGCGTCCTTATGCATTGGAAGAAAAAGGGCAAAGGTCAGCATACAGCCAATAAGATTCAAGCTACCACCTCTATTTCAGTTACCGTACTTTCCAAGAAGCACCGTATAATGGGAGATCGAAATAATAGGGATCGATCATGTCTCCCTTTGAGTGTTGATAACACATCGAAACTTTTAACAAACGGGATTTGAGGGATATTGCCTCGAACCAGAGGCGTGTGTAATGTAGTTGATTGCCCTTTCCTACGCTTCTCAAAACAATGTTTCCCTGGAAAGTTTGGATATGATTATACTAAGGCTTTTACGGAGAAAGAAGTAATTTGAGATATCCGATAAAAACAGTAACCGTGCATCTGTCTGTGACATCGTAGCTCCAAACAGATGAAGTGATTTTGATTTTTTTATTTGAAATATGTCTTAAGCAAAAGTATTATTAGATATCGTGGATGCAATACCCCGTAGCCAACAGTGGCTCAAACCGCACAGCTACAAAAAATGGCGTCCGGATTCTGCACTTCTCATAAAAGATTATGTACGGCGCATGTTGACTCCTCTTAGAAAATGTTTTTAATGAATGTGTATAACCAATTAGATGAATCATGATTGTGATGTAACCTACTACTCGTCGTTGCTTCTCAAGGCGGTCCGGAGGACCTTAGCCTTTGGGTCATAGGTGGCCCAGAAACCAGACAAGTTGTTGTGATGTAACCTATTTTGCATGGTAGTGACATGAATTGTCACGGATGACATGAGACACAAAACTTAAAGGATTTTGTCGCGAGTCCACGGTGTAGCACAGTGCACTACAGGGAATCGATACTCAAATTTTCGCGAAGAACGGGCATAGGGAAGGACGGATGTGACGTCGTCCGAATGTGCAAAAATCACATGGTGCGGGTACGCGCCTAACGTCTGTGAGGTACTAGCGGGTGACAGGTCTTATGTCAATTTCAATTAAAAAACAGACATCTCATTAGAAAATTTGTCATCACAGTGCCAAAAATTGAGTTAAATTATTAAATCATAAATGGAGGAACACGTCCACCTGATTTTAAATGACGAGCGAGAAAGTCATCGAAGATATATGAACCGGAATTCAAATGATTGATTTTATTGATATATATGTATATATATTTTATTTCAGATTCAAACAAGACAGCTAAGTTTTTCAAGCAGCTTAAAGCAGACATTTTGCGCAACATAAGCCATCTAACCACTCCCGGTGTAACTTGAAGCTGTCAAAACTTCGAGAGGAAGGGGAAATTCCATCTGTTTCCGCTCCGGTTCACTACGGGAACTCGCGAAAAAATCTCTATAGAGTATCACGAACGGCATGGAATATGAGAGTTTAAACTAGTTTAATCTAGGAGCACCTGATTGTTAATTCCAATTTCTAACCTCAGATTGAAATACCGGACCTTAAGTGATACCTAATTAAAATACACGTTCTAAGAGCATAACAGGTCAAAAACAATTACGCGTTTAAGTTTTTTCCATACCTAAGTTTTTCAATATATGTAGATATAGCAATGCTTATTTGAGGACTTACCTATATATCAGCTTCCTCCTTACGCTCCTCTTGAAGAACCCGCTGCACCCGTTGCAAGCCAGTATCCCGTAGTGCTTCCCTGAAGAGGTGTCTCCGCAGACCACGCAGATCAATCCCGGGGCCCCCTTTTTGGAAGGCGGTACCGTCCACGGAGGAGGCGGGGGTGTTCTGGAGGCCTGGACCAGTGTCTGGGAGGCAGCTGATGACAGGCAGAGTGCCAGAGGATGGTCAGATTCTGGAACTACGCCTGGGTAGAGGTCCACATGGGTTACTGGGGATGAACGGACTTCTGTATAGAGAAAATGGGTTAGATTTAGATGGGGTAATGACACCAGTAGTTGATCAATTAACCGGATCTTTGACTGTAATAATAATAACGTATTTCATGACATGGATAAATAAATCTAAAATAAAAGCAAAACCCTAAAGGAGGCATTGCCACTGTATGGACCAATAATTTCAAGCTGTAACTGTAGAATACAGATTTAAAAAAATGCAAGAATTAGTCACAGTGGATTATGAATTTACTTCATGTTCGTATTTATAAATGTATAAATTTTAGTTCGAGATACAGAATTCAGCCACTTTTTCAAATTTCTCGTAAAATAATTTCCGAAATATAGGTCTTTTAAATCTTTAGGTATAATTTCTTTAAAATTTGGCGCAAAATAGAAATAATACCGCTGCACTTTAAATTTATGTGGCTGAGGAACTACTATGCCATGAGTTTTGTACCTTGGTAGGTGAATTGAATATGCCCATGTTGGAAATTTCCGATCGCCCCAAAATTTCTACTTGCTTACATTACAGAGATTACTAGATGGCATAGCAGTTGTTAACCGACACCATTTATAGCAGTATGCGCCTGATCTGAATTTAGTTTGAGACTTAGAGTCGCGGAAGAAGACTAGGCTTATTTGCTACACGTGTGTTATAAAAAAAGCCAACTTTCAACGCGTTACCACTCTTTGTAGTGAACTGTTTTTGAGACGGTAAGTACAGCGTCTTGGGATTATTTTAGTGCAATTTTCACTTAAAAATTCGTTCATAAGTTAGAGGAAATACTACTACACGATATGTTTGTTAATATGCCCATGCCTCAATAGAAGTAATATGCGCACTGGACGTATTAGTGTTGCATACACTGATTCATGTTAACACTTTTAAATCATTGCTTTTTGCAGATGTCGCCTTACAACAGCAAGGGCTTGCGATCACAGTGGACCGGGAAGAATCTTCAACAAGCTTTACTGGTCATTCAAAATGGAGAGTCAAAAAACTCTATAAAAGGTTCAACATATCTAGAAGAACTTTAAATCCTTACATGAGTAAGAATACAAATAAGAAGCAGCCCCTTGGAAGGGTGTTAAGTCCCTAAATGAAGACGAACTGGTGTCCCGAATCATACGACTAGCTGAAGTAGGTTATCCCCTAACCAAACGGATTCTACGAAAATGTGCAGTGAGAAAACCATACAGCTCATATATTCTCGCAAGAAAAACGATTAGCTGGTCGATATTGGTTGGAGGCGTTCTTAAATCGTCATCCGGAAATAGATGTATAGTAAAAGATTACTTCGACAAACTTAGGAAAGTCTTAGTGGAGCTTGATTTGATGGATTGTACCAGAAAGGATACACAACGCAGATGAGATCCTTGCATCATCAACAAAGTGTTCTGGCTAAAAAAGGAGCAAAGCGAGTGCACTTAACGGAAAAAATGTGACAGTGGTTTCCTGCGACTACGCCAAGGAGTCAGAATTCCCACAGCCATTTTATTCAAAAGGCAAAGGCTAAAGCCAGCGGGACCCTAACTCTCATGACGAAAAAAGGAAACATGACAATTAAAACCTTAACCATTAAATGAATGGTTAAAACACCTAGGGATTTATAAACTGCCAGGAAAATGTCTCCTAATTTTTGATGGTGCTTCATGCCACTTAGATATACCTATTGTAGAGTCAGCTGATACATCTGACATCACACTATTTTGCCTCCGGAGTAACACGACCCACAAACTCCAGCCCATGGACAAAGCTGTTTTCAAAGCTTTTGAATATTACTGGGATGAGCAAGTGCTTTTATACTGGACACGTCACAAAGAAACAGAGATTTGGTGAGATATTTTCGCTCGTTTGGGACAAAGCCGTAACACCAAAAAATATTGCATCTGGTTTTCTGCCACGGTGATATATCCATTTAAACACGAAGCGATCTCCGATCTCGCTTTTGCTCCAAGTACTCTAACAGAATTACCATTTGAATAAAATTTGTTCCGAAGAAGAACAGCTACAAAAAACTTCAAGTCTTTGGAAATCAATGGCAGGAGAATAATTCGTAACTTTAGAGCTATTTCACCACAACCAGGGCTTTCAGGATTATGTCAGCGAAAGAACTACCATAGAAAATACACCTTCAAAGCAAGTAAAATCACCAAAACAACAAAAACGAAAACCTGAGAAAATGTGGACCTCATCAATTAGCGATAGCGACAGTTCAAGTGATAGCATATCTTTGTATAGTGACACGTTATCTGAAACTTTTACATGAGAGGAAGAAAGACGAATGAAAAATAAGGAGAAAAATACGAACAAAAAGAAAGAAATAGCTCGGGAAGGAGATACAGTTCATCAAGGAATCCTAGAAAAAGTGGCACAGTCGGAAAACAAACAAAGTAAAAAAAATTACAAAAGTAGAAGATGAGAATGAGAAATTACATGAATAAAGTAGCAAAGAAACTGAAGAAAAAGGAAAAAGGAGGATATGATATAACCGTCACAGAGATGTTAGAAACGACATACCTAAGGGGCAAGTAAAGAAAATAAATTGGAAAAAGGCCATCAATGGCAAAGCATTGGTGGTTAAGAGATACGTTTTCAACAAGGACAAAATATAGAAGCAACACAATATAGAAGCTGAAAATATCCGAATAAAAATTCTGTACGAACCAAACAAACACGGAAGAACAAAGATTCCTGGTACTGCAATCTTTGTGAAGAGGCTGCTCGTAACTAGGTTATGTTATGGTTTAAAAATATGTACTCCCTTCTCTTAAAGGAACCAAAAAATGTTTAGTTCTGTATTGGAAACCTTTATAGTTATATAAGTATTGTTTTATTTGCGTTTCAGTTGTTAAAGAGCCTGTAGAATCATTTATTTGGTTGATAAAATATAAAAAATAAAGGATACGTACTCTTGCTTGCTTAGAGTTATCGCTGAGCATAATAACAACATTCTATGGGCATATTACGAGCCTAGGTTGATAATATGCCCAGTTGTAAAGATTTTAAAAAAATAAAAGAATAACATAAAAATAGATGTTTTATTTTTTTTTGTCCAAGAAAGTTGTTCTATAAAGCAATAAGAGTATTTCTTGCATTAAGCAGAAACAAAACATCGATTTTTTCTGTGTCTTATGGACGGATCTCGTGGGCATATTCCCTTCATCCACCTTGTATGGTAGCGAGTGATAATGTGTAAAAAACAAAGCTGTCTTATATCATAAATTTCTACATATGTGCATAATTCGCCAGTGGGATGAATTTTCAGTTTTGTGAACATTATTTTTAGAATCCTTTTTCAAAAATATCTAAATCATAGATATGAGATGAACATGCTGATATACCATATGTAATATGAGGCGTTTTGTACGCTACAAATCTTTGTCTAAAATATAATTGGCATTGGTTGGACCGTAAATGAGGATCCAACACTAGTCCAAGGTATTTATGTTTGTCACTCTATTAACTTGCAGTTTTTGATCATTAATGTTGTAGGAGATATCTGTGTAATTTGAAAAGCGTCTAGCATAGGATAAAAATGGTATTTTTTAATAGTTGTTGCTGAATTTTCTGCTATTAAACCACTGAATAATTTTGATTAATTCCTTTTAAATTACATATTTTAGATGACCAGTCATTGTGAAGAAGTAGTTAGTAATATCGCTTTCTATGATTATTGGAACACAAGTAATTTTTTGTTATTAGGTCTTTCACAAAGTGGTGATCGATACATGTGTATCTAGTAGGTGGATTTATCTATGACAAAAATTCGTTACTTGTCAGGATATTCAACTATGCAATCGTATTAAATATTGAGCTTTGTTTGCAGTCCCTATCACTAAAAAACACTTAGAGTAGAGAAACCGGGTGTTGCAATTCTTATAAGTGTGAATAAGCCAATTAACTAAAAAAAGTGCGTTATCCAATACTAATGAATATCTAACTTTTTTTCAGGTATTGTTTCCATTTGATATTGTCATTTTATTGTAACGAAAACACATCGTTTTCAGTATTTAGAATCTGATTTATTAGTCTGACACTAATTTATGACAACACTTGCAACAACCTTATTACAAATTTATGACTATGGCGACTGGACTATTTCATGTTGACTCCACGCTATTGATGATTTATCGTCCGCTGTGCACTACTCGACTATCTATTCTGCCGTCGTAGCGCCTGTTTATTTCGAATCGGCCAATCCAGTGCCGGCCTTTACCAAAGCTCGCTGGATTACATTCGATAGCGCAGATGCTTCCCGATACCGCCGCAAACGTTCACGTATTCTGGCTGCCATAAATGGTTGCCTGCGCGTCGATGTTGCGAGGGCGTCTCATCGGTACATGTTGTGTAAATATCTGCGTATCCAAAGCATGTAGACCTTCGGGCAGTGACAATATTCTTTTTTTATTTCTGTAATTTGTTTTCCAATTTTTATTTTGTTCATTGTCACTTCATACTTTTCTTTATCCCTTGTTCTCCTTTTTTCTGGCTGTAGATTTTTTTTACTTTGATGTCATCTGCTTTCCTTCTGGCTACTTTTTCCTCAAGGTACTTTGTTTATTATAGATTTAAATTCAAATTTAAATATTCAAATTACGGCTACGAATGTCAAAATACCAGTTGTCCAACTACTGGGGGAATGTGCTATTGATTGCATCAACAGTTAAACCCCTTACAAAAACACGTAATAGTATCTAATGAATATTGCACCAATTACAAATTACTGCTAAACGTCATTAGTTTTATGTTAAGTGACTTTAGAGGAGAAAAAATCCCGTATTCTCGTGCTCTGTGCATTTTTTGGCAACAACGCGCTCAACCAATATCCTATGCGCTATATTGCATTAGCGCCCAGCGAATCCAGTCAAAATACTAATTGTTATCCATTTAAAGCTACACTATCGAGGGCGCATCTGTAAACAGCTGAGGGTCGTTCTCTCGTTCCAGTTTGACATATGGGGCACACCATTCGCATGATAATCGTGGCACACTTGATTAATACTCTAATGTCAATTTGACTGTAAGTGAATCAACGGAGGGTGCGCTGTTCTATTCTTCGTGTTCTGAGTCGGGATTATAGGGATGAGCATGAGTGCTAACATTTGTTGAACGTTGCTGGAGGATCCTTTTGTTATGGAACAAGTGAATCGATGTAGCGAGGTGGTCATATTTTTGATGGGATATGCCTGGTATATCCAACACCAGCAAGAAAGCATCAAAGGGATATTTCCTAGCTACATCAAGCTGCTTGTCCAAGGATGATCAAGAAACAGCTAAGAACAGAATAAATATAATGAGACTATTCAATGCCAGAAGCGAACATGGTATTCTATATATCTCGAACATGATAGCCACTTCTGAAATATGAAGAAAGTGACCTTGAGATATAAGACGGTCAGGCAGATCCTGGTGTCGCTGTATAGGAGAAATACGGCTTATTCTGGTTCCTTCACATCTCTTTTAAACGATTGAGTATATAAGACGCATCACAAGGTAAATAAAGTGTTGCATGTTTGAAATGGCTAATGTCATTTAAGTGAGGCCACATAATGGGAGGCGCAGGATAACTCGATAATGTTATACAGAACTTCTATATAACAAGGCATTGAGGCAAAAGAAATATAGACGACTGATACTGAGAAGCTGCGATAAGTAGTACTGTGTATGGTATGCGGTTACAGAGTGGTGTCGACCGATGTACTACTGGTGGCAGCTGGTATCTCGCCAATTGATTTGATGCCTGCGGATGGATGCGCACTCTCTAAAAAGGGCGTCAAGGCTAGAAGCGATGAAAGAGAGGCTCTTTTTGCCAGATGCCAGAAGGGATGGGATGCAACGGGCCATGGTGCTTGCAGATCGATAATCCCAGATATTAAAAATTGGATTGTCAAGGGAAGCGATGTGGATAGATTACTATACTGCGTATATTGTAATGAAGAGGAGGATACTCCTATCACCTACCGAAATGTGGTAGGTGAGTTGACTATCAGAGAAAGCTGGAATTGATACTCGACGAGAGGCTCGCTGCTGACAATTTCGCCACGCACCTACGCGAGGGAAAATGGGTTGATATCCAGCCAATGGTAAGACGAATCATGCTGAGTCAGGTACAGGAAAACAAAAATAGACCAAGGAACCCATAGTAGGTTCCTATTTGCTCGGTTGTACATGTACATTGGTACAAATGTATGCATCATGTTGTCTTCCAAATACCCTTTGCTGTCTTCCTTTCCAATCGTAAGATACAGCGGTGGTAGAGACGGTCTCTAACTGTCGAACGCGGAGGTACTACCCGGCGGATCTCGTAGGCGGGGCCAGAATGTATGCATGCACACGTGTTCCCTCTCCAGAGTTCGTGTGGCGTCCCCAATTTTCCCTGTTTCCCCCTATAACACCACAGTACCCCATGGGTGTTTAGGCCTTAGGCCTTCGTGGTAGTTGGAGTATGAAAAAATCAAAATTAACACTGGTTCTCTGCATGTATCTATTTCGGCTCCGACATTGTTTGTGTTCCACATTAATGGTCCCTTTTCCAGAACAATAAGTCGAATATATATAGAAGGAAACATAGCCCTAGTCTGCCAATCTAATGAGATCAAAACTCGTCTTGCCTTAACCTTAGAATTTTGGGTAATAATGATGAAAGTGCTCAATGTTGTACTTTACTCTTAAAACCGACATTTAGACATTTATTTAATGTCTGCTCTTGAGGGCTACAAAACGCGAAGAACAAATTTCGACAAAATACAAAAATACCAAATAAAGTTCAATGTTGAGAAATAAATGTTGAAAACACAAGCGAACAAACAATTAAATTAAATATCCGTCAATGGATTTATGTGCAAATATAAAAACAGACGGAATATAACCAATTTAAACTTGATACAAACCAAGAAGCAACGTTAAAACGATCTTAAAACAATAAACATGTATACATGTATAAATAATATGTAAATAAAAAATGTGTAAGAGCAACCTTACAAATGGGTATTGCAACAAACGCTTCACAGTGCATTTTCCAACGTGAAATACACATAAAAAGGGCACAATCAATAGATAGATAAATAGATTTATTTGGCTAATTCATTAGTACTTCTCATTAACTTTTTTGTATATAGCAAAATATGTCAATATTTAGCTTAAAAGTCTTAAGTCAAAAAACAAAAAAGTGAAAAAGATCTAGTCCGGCCGTGGACTTTTCTACCGTCCGACTAGTTTTACGTTACATATAACATAGGTAACTTTCTTATCGTGCAAAGTTTCAACAAGATCAGTTCAATGCTGCCTAAGATATCTGGTATTAAAGATTTGACGTGCATATCCGTAAAAGCTTAATTTAGTCCTTTTTTATTTTCACATATGGAAAGGTCTTGGTCTATACTACATACCTACCATTTCACAATGTCGATTTAAGTACGGAATACCCTATACAGGGTGTTTCAGTTTATTGTTGCATAACTTTAAGATTCGATAGAACTTTTAAAATTAATGCATAAAGTCTATATAAACATGGGCCGAAAAATGCGTGGCTTCCGAAATACAGGGTGTTTGAATTTAGTTTCCAAAATAGTTTTTTTTTAAATATTTCGAACAATATTTGATCTATAACAGTGAAAATTGGTATACATGGGTTTTTTGGTACGACAAAACGAACCATGGACAGTTTTACTGTAGCCGCTAGAGGGCCTTCTCTACTGTACCTGTAGTGTATTAAAATGACCGAAAATTTTTTCTTAGTGCAATTTACTGCTTTTTGAATAAAAAACTCATTCTTCGCACTTTTCAACATAAAAAAGCTCTCTTGTGAGTTTTCGTTATAGTTAGCCGTTTTTGAGATATTTCGATTTTCAAGGTTCGATGCATTTTTAATTATTTATGGAAAAATAATATTTTTTTTACATTTTCGATTTGGGCATTACATGTAATTAAGATGATCGTTTAGATTGTGTTTTTAAACACAGCAATAATTCCTAACTCCAAATAAACACAAAAAAACAGAATATCAATTTGTGTAATTTTCCAATATTATTTTTAACAAACTAAATTAATTATTTACAACTAAAATACTATTGGATAGTTAGGACAAACATACAAAATCTAAAGTAGTTGCTCGAAATGTAAACCCAATTGTTCAATACACAATTCACATCTACGAATGATCGAACGTGGTATAGCATTATTCAAATAAGCCCTTATTTCATCACATGCATTCCTGATTCTGTCTATTAGCATATCTCTTGTGGTTACGGGAGTCTGGTACACTTTTTCTTTTAGAAATCCCCACACAAAGAAATCTAATAGATTTAGGTCAGGGGATCGTGGAGGCCAGGCCGATCCATCTTTCTGGATAATTTTCGTCCAGCCATTTTCTAACTATTCTCGAATAATGAGCTGGACAACGATCAAGCTGGAACCAGGCCAATCTTCTTAAATCTAACATAACATCATCCCACATATTTGCATGTTCAGCCTTTAAAAATTCCAAGAAGCTCGCAGCATTTAACCTTGCAGGCAAAAGGTAGGGTCCAAATAGTCGATTACGGTAGATACCAATCCACACGTTCACACTAAATTCATGCTGAAAATTTCTTTCCCGAACTGCATGCGGATTTTCATGCGACCAAATATGTTGATTATGAAAACTCCACGTCTAGTGAAGCATGACTCATCGGTAGATAAAACGTTACTTAAAAACTCCCTATTATTATCAGTTCTATCAAGAATCCACTGACAAAATGTGATTATTCGTTCTCGGTCACCTGGCTGTAGTCCTTGCACAGCTTGCAAATGGTAAGGACGACTATGGTCATTTCTAAGAACACGGTGAACATGGCTTGCTGAAATTCCCAACGCACCAGAAACTCTCCTATCACTTGTGGTCGGATCTCTATCAAACTCACGCAGAATTATACGGGTAAATCTGCGCTGACGAACATTTACGATTTGATCCCTTTGGAGATTTCCAAAACCATTTTCAATTATTTGGCGATGCACTCTTACAAATACTGAACGAGTTGGATGTCGTCTGTTTGGAAATCTTCCTGCGTATTCTCTGGCTGCTTCTGCTGCGTTTCCATTTACAAAGCCATACACAAAATGAATATCCGCTAACTCTTGATTGGAGAATAAAAATGGCATTTCTATAAAACAGGTAAAAGAAACTAAATTTCGTGCATCCACAGTTGCAAAAAAACGTTTTAGATTTCAACAGACAACAAAATTATTCTGCTTTCAATTTCAAAAATATTTGCAGGCACAGCCTACTTCTAAAAATTATCGAGATACTGACTTTTTAACGTTATTTTATCATACATAATTAAAAATGCATCGAACCTTAAAAATCGAAATATCTCAAAAACGGCTAACTATAACGAAAATTCACAAGAGAGCTTTTTTATGTTGAAAAATGCGAAGAATCAGTTTTTTATTCAAAAAGCAAAAAATTGCACTAAGAAATTTTTTTCGGTCATTTTAATACACTGCAGGTACAGTAGAGAGCGCCCTCTAGCGGCTACAGTAAAACTATGTCCATGGTTCGTTTTGTCGTACCAAAAAACCCTTGTTTACCAATTTTCACTGTTATACATTAAATATTGTTCGAAATATTTAAAAAAAAACTATTTTAAAAAGTAAATTTAAACACCCTGTGTTTCGGAAGCCACGCATTTTTCGACCCATGTTTATATAGACTTTATGCATTACTTTTAAAAGTTCTATCGAATCTTAAAGTTATGCAACAATAAACTGAAACACCCTGTATATCCATATCAAGATTCCTGCAGCATGATAAAAAATGATTAAACGATACACATTCCTTGTATATTCCTAAAGCACCATAAACCCCAAGGGACTGCACCAAACGCAAGTATCTTCCTCTCTTTTAGGGAATCGAGTGCGCGTGAAATCCCGCCGAAAATCTCGGTCTGACTGGTAATAGATTTTTAATTTGCTTGACCACATGGCACACAAGGGCGCACAAGGGTCTCCCTTCGGCCCTTCGATGTGCGATCCTCGCTTCCCTGCACCCTACTGGCAACTTTCTATCATAATGCCACCACTTTATCCCCGTATAATACAAATTAATACGGCCGGCATTCAATAGAGACGCGGCTTAAGCCTACCAGAACAGTGGCGTGTCGTAAAGAGTGAAATAGACAATGACATTCAAACTATTATTATTATACAGAGTGTGGTAGTGAAAACTTTTCGTAAAGCTACATTACATGCTTTGTTGGAGAAATATTCTAGTATCAACCGAGGTCAGTGACCTTCTCCATCGAGATATGTATGGATTTTTTAGTAATAGCTATGATACATTATTACTACTTTTAGGGCCAACTTCACCAACAACAGTCTGTTATTCTCCACCTATAGGGTAACAGACCGTCAGATATAGCGAATGAGCTTCAAGTTCCAATCAACAAATTTTGGCAACCAATAGCTATGAAATGTTGAAAACAAAATACTGTCAAGGTGTGAGATGACAACTTGCAACTGAAACATCACCAGCTTATTGAATATTAAGAAATTACATATAATTCAGTCAAAATTTAAATAAATGTTTGATTTTTGAATTAAATTCATGTTTTAATTACCATTGTTGATTTTTTATTCATGTTTATACTATTTTCTTCAATTGATATGTGATACTGGGTGTTTTTTCCTATAAACCTCTTGCATTAAGCACCTACTTGATGACAGGCTCTACCAAAAGATATTGCTCGTTTCCAAACATTCATTCATTTACTTGCCGTTCATCAGAACCATTATGGCACGTTAGACTGATATTCCCACAAAACCATTCAGGTTTTTTGATATCCATACATCCATAAAGTTGAATATTTTTCGTTGTTCAGGAACTGAACAAAGATCCACACTATATTCACAGCGATTAAGAAATTCCCAAATATATACCTTAAAGCTACCAGCAAACCTAAAACCTTCAAAAAAAACTGCAAATTTGCCATATTTTTCTTTCTTCACGAGTACACATTCTAGGTTATATTTATATTAGAAATTATTTGAATACAGCTGATTATTGCATTTCAAGTAGTGACACATGTGTGGGATCTGTCAACTCTTGGTACCAGTCACAAAACATAATATTCTCTGAAGGTTTAATTCCATGCTATTCAATGACAACACGGCAACTTGTGTGGTTATAAGCGGCCATTTTGTGAGGGTGCGACAAGGTTGCCAGATTGTGCATTAATATCCCGTTTCCCCTCCTGGTACCAGTGGAGTAAGTTCCGCCAACTGTTGAAATATACTCTACTATGCTTTATAAGACAATTCGTCACATTTTTCCCAAAATCATTGCACAACACTTGAAAAAATGCAAATTAAAATTTAAAATTATTTCCATGACGCCGCAATATAGCTCGGTCGGTACCTTGGGTTAAACATCTTGACA